GGCATTTCCACCTCTAGATCCTGCGGGAACAAATTACAGCACTCAATGGACATTGCATCAGAAATGGCCCAGAGATTTCTATTGGAGATCTTCACAGTAATCTAAAGGACCGGGTTATGGGTGCTGCAACACTTGGAGGGCTGTGACTGGGACCATTGTAAGTAGCACTTCACTGGACTGGCAGCAGACATAACACTTGCGTCTCAGCCCCTATGCACCCATCATCCCCCTACTTCACCTGGATTTTTTTTTTTTTAAACAAGCGAGTCATACATTCTGATTTTTAACGTTCGTGAAACATGTATTTTAGGTTTAGTGGCCGACATATGTTGGATTCCCAAATTTCAATATGATGTATGAGACCATAAATACACAGACTATGTTGCAGACAAGACAAAGTAAAATGTCATTGTTTCATAATATGGCAGAGCTAAAACTAGCTTTAGTATATTGCCAAATCAGAAACATTGATAAACAATTGTCGCCATTTACAGGCACCGTATATTTGAGCACTAAAATGTTGTCCCATTTCAAGGACAAAATAATGAAAACAAAAAAAATTTATTAAAAAAAAAAAAGGTATAGGCAACCTAAAATTCTATTTTAAACTGGTGAACAGATGCTTTGGATGTCATCCAGCCAAACTTTAAAACTTGTTGCATAAATTGGTGTTTCTATTAAACCAGAAAAAAAAAATGAATACAAATACTAAAATATAGCAGAGGAAACAAGGCACAGATACAGTACTGTTATCAAACACATTCCGTGCAGGTTTCCTTTGCTAAAATAAATAATTGAAAACTAGAATCTAGGCTTCTAAAACAAAACAATGGAGGTGAATTAAGCAAGCAACCTTTACAATGAAATGTTTCTCAGTGACAAATGACAGCCATGAACAATGTGCAGCCGCGGCAGTAAACCATTGTTTGCTAAAGTGTAACGCCAGCTTTTATCACATTTTATACTACAAGGCAGGCCAGTGTTAGCAATCAACTTTGTAAATATCATTATGTATCTTTTTAGCTCACTGTCAATGTGGACCTTTTGATAACTTTACAAATCTGCATGGATAATGTGTCACAACAAACAGCAAAACAGTCCAATTTCCAAATAATACCTCTAACTTTTTAATCAGGCCTTGCACTAAAAAGCAAAAGGTTTGTTTATTCCATTAGGGCCCCATTCCCACACATCTTGGCATTAAAGTGTATAAAGAAACAGGCAAATACTGGTAGGAATGAGAATCCCAAATCTTACCAGAAGACGCTCCCTGCCCTGTGCTGTAGTGTTACCTGGACAGATTGGGGATACTCTGCTTTCCCAGAATTTTGCTGGCTGGATTGTGACGTCACCCTCTCCTAGGCACCGGGGGGTAAGGCAAGTACATTTTTGAACTTTTCCCCCACAGGTGTATTCCTCTACATTTTAATGCTGAGATTTTGTATGTGAGTGGGGATTGATGTCATAAGTGGACCTTTCTTTCAGTGCAAGGTCTGCTTTAAAGCCCATTTCTACCTTCATAAGTGACTAGCATTTGCTGTGGTAATGTAGAGGTGCAGTGATTATGTATGTGTGTGTATTTTCATGACTCACATTGATGGCTTTTTTTTTTTATGGGCTTTTTTAGTGGGCCCGAGTTCTACAAAATTCCCTCCAAAGGAAACTCAGTCTGACACTGGGGTCGGATTGTAAAGCAGCTGGCCCCCTCCATGTGAGTCATTGTAACAAGATCACTGCACACCCGTTCTGTCAGTCCAGGGGGGGGGGGGGGGGGG